ATAAAACTGAAACAGGGATTGAGATGTATTTTGGTGGTATAGTACTTGAGAGCAATATGGAAGGCTCTCAGTTCAAGTCCTAGCACAACAGATAATAAAAAGAATATGTCCATAGTGAAGCAGTAAAATTAATAATCTTATAGTCACATCTCAAAATCCTCTAGCTCCTATAGATAACCAAAATGGTCCCCAAAGGGAGTGGCACTAATGGAGTGTGGCCTTGTTGGAGAAGTGTGTCACCGTGAAGGCAGGTTTTCAGGTCTCCTATGCTTAAGCTACACCCAGTGAGACAGATCACTTCCTGTTGCCTGCAGAATCAAGATGTAGCTCCTTTTCCACTCTCAGATTCTACTCTAGCACCACGTCTGCCTGCATACCGCCATGACTTGCCATGGGTTTAAATAGTGAACTAAACCTCTGAAACTGTGAGCCACCCCAATGAAATGTTTTCCTTCATAAGTGTTGCTATGAGCCCGGCGTTGGTGGTGCACGCCTTTAATCCCATCACTCGGGAGGCAGAGGCAGGCAGATCTCTGTGAGTTCGAGGCCAGCCTGGTCTCCAGAGCGAGTGCCAGGATAGGCTCCAAAGCTACACAGAGAAAACCTGTCTCAAAAAAAAAAAAAAAAAACACAACAACAACAACAAAAGTGTTGCTATGGTGCTATGGTCATGGTGTCTCTTCACAGCAATAGAAACCCTAAGGCAGCTTCACATTCTCCTAAATGCTCGGTCTTGTAAATGCTGAGATGTGCACCACCACTAGGGCTCCATACATCATTAGTCATTTCTGTATTGTATCTAATATTTTGTAGATAGTTGTTATACTGTATGGATTACAAGATAATGAGGGGGAAACATCTCTACACAGTTGGTACAGCTGCAGTTGTTTTTCTGAATTCTTTTTCTTTCTTTTTTTTTTTTTTTTAATGAACATCGTCTCATCAGTTAGCCTTGGTTGGCTTGAAACTCTGTATGTAGACCAGGCTGGCAAACTCACAGAGAGCCCCACCTGCCTCCTCTGCCTCCCAGTGCTGGGACTGCAGGTGTGCTCTACCATGCCTGGCCTCTTTCCTGAATATGTTTCACTGTATCTGCCTGAATTCACAAATGTGGAACTCACAGTTAAGGAAGTCTGACAATAATTTCTGACTTCAGTTCATGGGTTGTCTCTCCCCACTGCTCCCATTGCTTGAGACATGTCTCACTCTACAGCCCAAGCTGGCCTGGAACTCACAGCAATTCTCCTGCCTCAGCCGCCCAGAGGCTGGGATTACAGGAATAAACCATCAAATAACTTCAAACATGTTCATGCCTTAAAAAAAAAAAAGAAAAAAGTTTTCTTTATTTAATGTACAAGTGTTCTGCTTGTGTGCACATGTGAGTGTGCATACCTGGACCTTGTGTTCATGTCTGTGAGTGTGCATGTCTGGCACTTGTGTGCACATCTATGAGTGTGAATGCCTGGCACTTGTGTGCACATCTGTGAGTGTGCATGCCTGGCACTTGTGTACACATCTGTGAGTGTGCATGCCTGGCACTTGTGTACACATCTGTGAGTGTGCATGCCTGGCACTTGTGTACACATCTGTGAGTGTGCATGCCTGGCACTTGTGTACACATCTGTGAGTGTGCATGCCTGGCACTTGTGTGCACATCTATGAGTGTGAATGCCTGGCACTTGTGTGCACATCTGTGAGTGTGCATGCCTGGCACTTGTGTGCACATCTGTGAGTGTGCATGCCTGGCACTTGTGTGCATGTCTGTGAATGTGCATTCCTGGTGCTTGCAGATATCAGCATTAGATGCCATGGAAGTGAAGTTATGGACAGTTGTGAACTTCTATGTGGGTGCTGAGAATGAAATCCAGATCTTCTGCAAGAACAAATGTTTTGTTGTTGTTCTTTTTAATTGTTTTTGTTTTGTTGGTTTTTCGAGACAGGGCTTCTCTGTGTAGCTTTGGAGCCTATCCTGGAACTCACTCTATAGACCAGGCTGGCCTCAAACTCAGAGATCCACCTGTCTCTGTCTCCCGAATGCTGGGACTAAAGGTGTGCACCACCAATGCCCAGCTTATTCTTCTTCTTAGCAGAACAGTAAATATAAAATACTCCTGCTACAGACATGCACACGTGAACACCCACCCCACATACACACACTTCTACTGGGTCAAACATTTAGAAGGTCTGTTTCATTCAGTGAATCAATACTTGTCAATTTGGGTTTGCTGTGGTGGCACATACCTGTAATTCCAGTACTCGGGAGGCAGAGGCAGGTGGATCTCTGTGAGTCTGAAATCAGCCTGATCCACATATCGAATTCCAGGCCAGACAAGGATATACAGTGAAACTTTGTCTCCAAAAATAAAGTTGTCAGCTGATCAATCATAAAATTTCCAAATCATTCATGGGTAGAGAGCTAGTCTGTCTACAAGGTAGACAGCTATAGTACCTAGACTGAAGCTAGACTGTGTACCTACAGAATACATTCCCAGACACACAAATAAATGAATAAATGTGTCACCAAGAACAAAACTCCACTAATGTTTTCAGACTTAACAATGTACCCTCAGGCACATGTCCATAACCCCAACACTCCGAAAGTGAAAGGAAGAAAATCTTGAGCTGTACAGTGAGTCTAAGGCCAGCATGAACCAAACAGCATAACCTTCTCTCTCTCTCTCTCTCTCTCTCTCTCTCTCTCTCTCTCTCTCTCACACACACACACACACACACACACACACCAGAAAAGAAGAGGGGAGGGGGAAAGACTGAGGGAAGAAAGTAAGAGAATTACCATTTATCCACTTATACTATACCGGGTATAGTATCAAAGAAGAATGTCATAATTAATGAAGGATATTGCTTTACTACTATATGTCTTTGGGGCTGAATTTTCTTCATATACTTCAACAAAAGAATCCAAATGTCTTCTAGTAAGCTCTGTATTATAGATTTGCAAAGTTAGGAGCACAGCTCTGTAGCAGAGTGCCTCCCCAGTGCATGTTAGTCCCTAAGTCTGATTCTTAGCACAACAGGAAAATATCAAATACATAAAATAATGCCTGCCTTTTGCAGTGAATTGTTTTCAAAGTTGCTTTTTTTTTTTTTTTTTTAAGGTATAGGAATCAGAAAGATATCTCAGCAGGTAAAATACCTACCATTCAGAGACAAGCAGACACTGGGCTTCCAGCTAAAATAGCTGGCCCCAAGCTCAGTGAGACACTAGCTCAAAATAAGGTGGAAAACAACAAAAATAAAATTCTAAGGATACACAGGGCGGAGGGAGTGGAGAGGTGGACCAGCCACTGAGAGCGTCCCTCACTCCTGCAGAGGCTCAGGTGTGGCTCTCAGCACCACATCAGGAGGCTCACAAGAGTATGTATGCTAGCTCCAGGAATCCAGCACCCTCTTCTGGTCTCTCCAGCACCTACACACGTGTTCATAAGCACATACAGACACATAACTAAAAAATCCAAAAAAAAAAAGTAAGGGGCTGTAAAGGGGCTTTTACCATTAAAAGCCCTGGCTGCTCTTCCAGAGGACCTGAGTTCAATTCCCAGCACCCACATGTGGCTTACAACCATTTGTAATAGGACCTGATGCCCTCTGTTGGCAAGCAGAGCACTCATACATAAAATATAAGTAAATAATTTTTTATAAAAAGTAGAATAGAGAACACTCCACGTTCATCTCTGGCTTCCTCTAGATGTACATGTACAGGTACACGTATCCTTATGCATACATGAATACATGAAGGTACACATATCATCAATATATAAGAAGTGTATTGTTACATTTGATGAATCATATTTATCTTGTTTTAATCCCTAATAAAGTTCAATATCGACAAATAGAATGCACATAAGCCAAAGTTCCTTACTGTCCATTATAGGTTTATTGGTTTTCTATTGGTACTTTTTATTTTCCAAAATAGTTGTTCTTTTTCATATACACATATGTTTTGCTTGCATGTGTGGCTGTACACCATGTCCATGCATTGCCTGCAGGAGGAGTCATATCCCCTGGAACTTGAGTTAACTACTGTGAGCAACCATTTGGGTGCTGGAATCAAAGCCAGATCTTCTGGAACAAAAGGCAGTTTTGCATGTCTGCATCTCTGCGAGAAGGTGTCTGGTCACCTGGAACTGGAGTTACAGACAGTTGTGAGCTACCAAGTAGGTTCTGGGAACTGAACCTGGATCTTCTGAAGAGCAGCCAATGCTCTCAGACACTGAGCTGTCTCTCCAACCCCATAATAACTTTTTTTTTTTTTTTTTTTTTTTGGTTTTTCAAGACAGGGTTGCTCTGCGGCTTTGGAGGCTGTCCTGGAACTAGCTCTTGTAGACCAGGCTGGTCTCGAACTCAGAGATCCACCTGCCTCTGCCTCCCGAGTGCTGTGATTAAAGGCATGCGCCACCACCTCCCGGCCTCTATAATAACTTTTAAAAGAGTAAAACGAGGTAATTTTTTGTTTACATTTTACCATGTGTATAAACTTAGGATCTCAGTAACACAATATTGTACTTATATTAATTTTTCTCCTCAGTTTATGATGAATTTTTGCACTTTCAAATATCCCAGAATTTCTTCTCATTATAAACAGCATTACTTTCCCTACTACCAAATGATGTATTAAACATACGGACTATAAGTAAAAACTGTATTCTACTTTAAATTATATTTTTTTATTTGAATTAGAAACAAGATTGTTTTACATGTCAATCCCAGTTCCCGCTCCCTCCCCTCCTCCCCTGCCCTACCCAACTAAAACCCTACCTACCTAAATTATATTTAATTTGTTTATGCAAAGTGCTCACTCCTTATAGCTGCTTTTCTTATGTTGACACTGCACACACATGCACATCAGATCTCCACATTCATGGACAGCTGCGTGTACACAGTTAAATTTCTGCTTGCTCAAACTATTAACTCTAATGGGAACTCAGAAAACAATGCAAACATCATAAGAATTACCCATAAGGCCGCAGTGTGATGCTCACCTGATCTCTAGCTCATCCATCCAGGTGAAGTATTAGAACTGTATCAAGAATGACTTTGAGAGACACTGAGGAAGGACAGTGGTAGCCTCTGGCAGTTCACCTGAGAAGGAGAAAGAATCTTTCACTACACTGACACCAGACCCTAAGAAGCTTTCGGCAACATGGTAGTGAGATGGAATTCTCAGAACAATTCTGACTTTTGACTGGTCTCTGTGTCTTCATTAAGTGATGTGGGTGACAGTACAGAAATCATTTTGAAACCACCTATATCCTTCCTTACTCTGAAAAGCTGAGAACTGTATATTAACTATAAAATCCCCAGAGACTTCAATTTACAGAAGCCTATATAGTTCTAAATTTAGCCAAGCAGTAGAAATAGATGGAAGATGTGCAATTCACTTTAATATCTGTGTTTTTATGTTGCCAGGCAGCTAATTTCTTTAGTAATGTTAGAGCAGCCAATCACGTAAAAGGGCAGAAATACAAGAGTCATATAATAAACTGACAGGTTAGTAATTGTGTTAACTAAAATACTGAGCCAGGTGGTATGGCTCACACCCAAGATCCCAGCACTTGGGAGGCTGAGGCAAGATCAGGGGTTCAAGGCCAGTATAGGCTACATAAGACCCTCTCTCAAACAGAAACGTGAAAGGGGGCTGGAGAGATGCCTCAGATGTTAAGAGAACTGGCTGCTATTCCAGAGGACCCAGGTATGATTCCCAGAATCCACATGGCAGCTTATAACCACCTATAACTTTAGTTTCAGGGAATCTGATATTCTCTTCTGGCCACCATAAACACCAGGCAGTCAAGTAGTACATAGACAGACATTTAGATGAAACACCCATACACATAAAATAAAAATCTTTTAAAAAGTGGTATCTGAGCCGGGCGTTGGTGGTGCACGCCTTTAATCCCAGCACTTGGAAGGCAGAGGCAGGTGGATCTCTGTGAGTTCGAGACCAACCTGGTCTACAAGAGCTAGTTCCAAAGCCACAGAGAAACCCTATCTCGAAAAACCAAAAAAAAAAAAAAAAAAAAAAAAAAAAAAAAAAAAAAAAGTGGTATCTGTGACTTCGAGAAATCATCACCTTTCCCACTTCCAAAAGGATATTCTGTCATTTTTCCCATAGAGGGTTTTAGAATATTTGAGCAAAACCAACACCACCACCTGGCTGACCTGTCACTTCTTGCAGGGATAAGAAATGAGTACATTCTGGAGCTGGTAGAATACTTGTGATTTTAGAGTACCAGATCCCAGTTCTAAGGCTAACCCTATTTTGGAATTTCTGGGACATTAGACCTCATAAGGAGCCATGTTCCAGGTCCCTGTGGTTCAGCACACCTTTAATCCCAGCACTCAGGAAGCAGAGGCAGATGGATCTCTGTGAGTTCAAAGCCAGCTGGTCTATAGAGCGAGTTCCAGGCCAGTCCAAGCTTTTTATATAGTGAGACCCTGTCTTCATCAACACAATTTTAAAGGCTAGGGAGCTAACTCTGTGGATAACATGATCAATTCCCAGAACACCAGTAAAACAGTTCAGCAGGTAGAACTTAACTGCCAAGCCTGATAATCTAAATCCAATCCCTATGCCCAGAATGGAGAGAATCAACTCCCAAATATGAACACACACACACACACACACACACACACACACACACACACGCACACGCACACGCACACGCACACGCACACGCACACGCACACGCACACTCCCCAAGGGCAGCCCTCTCATTTTCTCCTATGAAGTCATTTAGTTAGGATACTTCACTGCTTAAGTACATCTGGGAACATGCACAGCTCTGCAATTCATCCTCCCTCCCCCATCAAAAACTTGAGAAGTCAATGCAGGATGATCACAAGTTGAAAGTTATCCTTGGTTACACAGCAAGTTTGGAGTCAGTCTGAGCTACATGATAAGCTGTCTCAGAAATAATAATAATAATAATGGGGACCATCAAGATAACTTAGCAGTTAAATGTATCTGAGAGTCTGAATTGAATTCCCAGAACCCACATAGAGGAGGCTGGATAACCTCCCTGTTACTCTCTAACCTCCATACACAGCCACGGCATGTATACATTACTACAAATACACCCCATACGCATCCCTTACACACACAATAAAGTACTACCAAACTGCAGCAAGACAACATTATGTTATAGAACATACCAATATGTGGCACCACAAAAGCAGTTAATAAAGATAAAACAACTTAATTCTATGTATTATATGGCACTACACAGTACTGTAACCCCAGCACCCAGTAAGCCAAGGCAGAAGGATCAAGGCTAGCCAGAGCTACACAGAGAGAATGTCTCCTAACAACAAATCCGTGTACATTCTTATTTCCATAATTAACAGATTTTGCCTGACTTTCTTTAAGTGTAGGAGAAAATATGTCAAGAGAACTCAAATCAAAGACCAAATTAAGAACATTTTCATATCTGCTTATAAAAATAAAAGTGACATAGGGCTGGAGAGATGGCTCTGCGGTTAGGAGCACTGACTTCCAGAGGATCAGGGTTCCATATGGCAGCTAACAACTTTAACTCCAAGATCTGACACTCTCACACAGACATACATGCAGGTAAAATGTCAATGTACATAAAATAAAAACTATTTTTAAAATATTCAATTATAAAAATCAATATATAAATACATAAAGACACATATAATAGAGAAATGGACAGAATACCTTCAATGGAGAGACAGGGCGATAGGGAGAGTGCTATACTGCTAAAGCAGAAACCAGAGTGAAGTATTTTCTACAGAGGGTGAGAAGGATACAGCTCAAGGAAAATACTGAGGCCACGGGATATGAAGGTCTAAAATTAGATCCACCAACTGGATCCATGTACACATCTTTTTGTTGTTGTTGCTTTTGTTTTTCAAGACAGGGTTTCTCTGTAGCTTCGGAGGCTGTCCTGGAACTCTCTCTGTAGACCAGGCTGGCCTCCAATTCACAGAGATCCGCCTGCCTCTGCCTCCCAATTAAGGCATGCAACACCAACGCCTGGCCCATGTACACATCTTGAAGCCAGGAGTCTGGTTATGTTTCCTGCTTCTAAGGTAACAAACAATACATGCCATGGAAGGGCAAAGTTCTTTACAGATCCACTCCCCTTTCTCTCTTTTGTTTTTTTGAGACAGGGACTCAACAATGTACCCAGGATAGCTTCACGTCCCTGCTCTGCCTTCTGAGGGCTAGAAGGGCAGATGTGGGTTGCCCTCATGCCTGCCTTTTTAATTTGTCTTTAAAAAGCTGCACAGAAGGGGCTCACTACCCAAAGGGTAAAGGACAAGCTGACAACTGAGTTCCCAGCACCCGTTGTGGTGGCTCACAACCCCAGCCACAAGCAACTCCAGCTCCAGGGTACTGCATGTCCTCTCCCTGGCCACCACAGGACATAAACTTACACAAACACACAATTTTGACATAAAATAAAGCCTCTGGCTCAGAGTGGTGGTGCATGTCTTTAATGTCAGCACTCAGGAGGCAGAGCCAGGCAGACCTCTGTGAATTCCAGGCCAGCATAAACTATATAGTATCAGGTTAGCCAGGGCGACATAGTCAAGAACTGTCTCAAAAATATAAAATCTTAAAAGGAAATGAGATAATCCTACAACATTCTCTCCTTTGGACCTGCCAGGACAACATAACCAAAACACAACACTTTTCTTCCTTTCTCAAAAATCTACCTTTTCTGAGCAGTGGTGCCTTTAATCCCAGCACTCTGGAGGCAGAGGCAGGCAAATCTCTGTGAGTTCGAGGCCAGTCTGGTCTACAGAGCAAGTTCCATTATAGGCTCAAAAGCTGCGGAGAAACTCTGTCTTGGGGCGTGTGGAAGGAGGGGAACCTATCTTTTGCTGAGCCAGGGAGATGGCTCAAGAGACAAAGTTCCATCCCTGGAACCCATGTTAGGTAGGACAGAGCCCACTCCATAGAAAGTTGTTCTCTAACGTCCAGCACACACATTCCTTGGCAAACACTCACTCACTCTGTATACACACAGACACACAGCACACACACACACACACACACACACACAGGCACGTATATACAAACCTTTAAATTAAAAAATATTTTCTACTCCTGAAAATGCATGCATTCACAAGAGACCTGGCATAGTACATAGCGTGATCGCTCACAAGCGATAGGCACAGAAAGCACCTATTTATCTATGGCACAGAAACATTTAAGTCTGTGAGGCTGGAGAAAAACTAACTAGAAATGCTGTGCACAGACCATGAGGGGAAAACAGAAGTTTGGTAGACACTATTACCCATTTGTCTAAGTTATTAGAAATTATTTATAAAACAAAATTACTAATAGGTTAGGTTGGTGGTGGTTAACAGATGTTACCCCAGCACCAAGGGAGTTGGAGGAAGGAAGAAGGCCAGTCTGAGCTACACAAAACAACAAAAACAAAAGGAAACAGGGTGGTAGAAGGCTCAAGAGATGCCCAGGTGGTAACTGGGCATATACTGATCTCTTGTTTTGTTTTGTTTTTGTTTTTTTCCAGATAGGGTTTCTCTGTGGCTTTGGAGGCTGTCCTGGAACTAGCTCTTGTAGGCCAGGCTGGTCTCAAACTCACAGAGATCCACCTGTCTCTGTCTGAGCATGTACTTATCTTATAGACCTGAATTCAGCTCCCAGCATCCATGTTGAACAACTCAGGGCAGCTCACAACTACTGAGAGCCTCAACTCCAGGGAAAGCTGATGTCTCTGACCTCCACTCATATATACATACACACACAGACACAAAAGGAGACACACACACATAAAATATTTTTAAAAAACAGGGTCTTGGGGCTGGAGAGATGGCTCAGAGGTTAAGAGCACTGCCTGCTCTTGCAGAGTTCCTGAGTTCAATTCCCAGCAACCACATGGTGGTTCACAACCATCCATTATGGGATCTGATGCCCTCTTCTGGTGTGCAGATATACATGGAAGCAGAATGTTGTATACATAATAAATAAAATCTTAAAAAAAAAAAAAAAAAACCAGGGTCTCAGGTAACCCATGTTGGATTGGAACTAAGTAAAAATAACTTTGAATTTCTAGTTGTCTAGATATACACCACCAGATCTTTTATTACTTGTACATTAATATTAGAACCAGA